TTTTTTTTTTAAATTAATAAAATAAATACTTACAAATAAAACAAATGAGATTTTATTAATTTTCTTGCTAACAATTATATATAACTAGTACAACGCCCGTGTACTACACGGGTACTTGCTAATTTTTTTTATTAAAATCTAAAATTAATGAGTAAAAGTAATTAACAATTTCAATACTTTTTATAAAGTTATATATATTATTGTATATTTAGTATGACACTTTTTTATTTGTGCGACTTACCTGTGCTATATTATATATTTTTTTGACTTACAACATATAACTACATTAAACATAAATATATCAATTGAGAAATAATTTTATTTTTTAATGAATTTTAATAAATATTATTATTTTTTACATTATAAAGATAAATATAATTTATTTATTTCATATATACAATATGGATGCCAAATCGAAGATCATCAAAAGATAATTAATTTGATATATTATATATGTAAAACCGATAAGAAATATAAAAGTAATCAACTTTTAAAATACATTTACAATTCAATAGTTAATTGAAGGAAACAAATCAAAAGTCAGAGATATATTAGTCACTTTAGGCTATGTTTGGCAAACTAAATAAGCTAGCTTATAGCTTATTTAGTTAGCTTATAAGCTTCTTGTATTTAAATAAGCCCCGTTTGGTAGGACGAGCTTATTTAAAAAGCTCGAGCTTATTTGATAAGCTAAATAAGCTTGTTTAGGTAGCTTTTCAAATAAGCTAGTTGATTTTTTTATTCCAGCTAGCTTATCAGCTAATTTTACCAAACACTTTTATCATATAAGCTAGCTTTTCAGCTATAAGTCATAAGCTATAAGCTCTAAGCTAGAAAATTACATATAAGCTATAAGCAACATAGCCTTAGGCTATATTTGGTAAACAAAATAAGCTAGCTTATAGCTTATTTGGTTAGCTTATAAGCTTCTTGTATTCAAATAACCCCTGTTTGGTAGGACGAACTTATTTAAAAAGCTAGAGCTTATTAATAAGCTAGTTGAATTTTTTATTCTAGCTAGCTTATCAGCTAATTTTACCAAACACTTTTATTATATAAGCTAGCTTTTCAACTATAAGTCATAAGCTATAAGCTATAAGCTAACTAAATTACATATAAGCTATAAGCTAGCTTATCAGCTATCAACTAGCTTATTAGCTAGTTTTAGCAAACATAGCCTTAGTGTCTCACTATGTAATATTACAAAAAATTAAAGTGTTGTATTAGTAAAAGTTATATTAAAATATCTAAGTTAGCTAAATAATATTTATGGAATATCCGAACCTAGATTATTAATTATTAATATATCAATATTATTTGTCCAAACCTAATTACGAAGCATGATTATTTACCAAGTAGGATTCCGAAGCACAAAAAACAACCACGTAGGTTCAGCGCATTCGGGAATAGTACATAGGGAGGAGGAGGAGGATTATATAACAAATTCATTTATATTTTATATTGTGACACAAATGTCCCAAAATTATCTCTCACAGTTTTTTTTTTTATTTTTTATTTATTTTTATATTTTTTTTTTTTACAGGGACCTTCCGGTTTCTGGATCTACAAGGGAACCGACTAATCCGGAATCGAGTCGGGTAGGACCACAAGGGCGGCAAAGCTCTCCCTCAAGAGTTTTAACACTGCTGCATTCCCAGGGCTCGAACAGGAGACCACTGGTTAAGCTGAAAGAGACTCAAGCCATCTCATCAAAACGCTCTTGCCTATTTGTTTATTTATTTTGATATTAACTTGAAAGGAAAACCATGGGCACAAGCTGAGTCCTTGAACTACAGCAGGACTCATTGACTCATAACCAAATCAAACATACAAAATTACTCGGACCAATCTACAAACAGCTCAATTCAAATCAAATCAAATCAATCGCAGTGTAGTTCTTCAGAACAAGCTCTGCAGAGAAACAGTAATCTCATCCCACCTAACCCCGCCGCACCGGAGAGGAGCTCCATGGTTATGTTCTGCAAAAGCTCATCTGCAATCGCGATTTTTGGCTGCTAATCTGCTACTCATCCACTGAGAGCATGTCGAAATCGCTGCCCTGTTCGATGAAAGATGTACATTACGATAATGCCAAGTTTCGCCAGCGATCGATATTTAGGGTTGGTGTTGTGCTTTTCTTCCAGATCTTGTCCTTTTTTTCTTCTCTCTTTGTTGAAACTTTCTCTGTTTGCTCAGTATATTTTGGTCAATATCTCGTATTGATCACAAGGGGGTTTTAAAGGGTTTTGAGTAGCTCTGACATTTAGCAAGATTTATGGCGAAAGGCTGTATTTTTAGGTGCTCCTGAGAAAGGTCCTTTAGAATTTGTGATTAATTGCATCATAATTTTATGTACTGTTTGATTATGGGGTTGTTTCCTTTTATTCTATATACGTTGTTTATTGCTTGTTGAATTGCTGTATGAACTGAATTCAACCTACTATGTCTTTTTTTTTTTTTTTT